ACGAATAAATCAGCATGTGGGGGTGTTCACTAATTTGCTAACCCAGACAAAATCGTAGCACATCAGCACATGGGCATCTCACAGCACATCTATGTGATAATTGGGATTCTCATATCTTTCCAATATCAACCAATTTTATTCCATTTTTTCCTCTCAAATTCGTACATAGAAAATTTGTATTAAAAACCAATTCATCAGGTTTTATTATCGTCATTATTATTAGGGATAAGATATTGTAACAATCAATTAGAGTTACTGTCAATATTATTACTAATCATTTTACCATTAGATCAATTATGTTGATTCAACGACTATATTTATTTGCATTTTTGAATGGTTATGATTCCTCATATTTAATATGAAATCATTAAATATGAAAAATTTTAACCATACAAAAGTGAAAATAAATATAAAGTATTAAATATGGAATTATAACCATACAAAGATGAAAATAAATATAATCATTGAATCAACATAATCGATCTAACTGTGAACTTAATTGATAGCAACCCTAATTGATTGTTACAATATCCTTCCCCTTATTATTAGAGTAGAAATTATGAAAAGATGGAAAAACAATTGTAAATACAAGAATTGTTGGTATAATAGGATCAGAGTTAGATATCAGAATTTAATTTGTCAATTATAATGGGTTTGATTCTTAAGAATCACATTTCCTTAGAATGGTGAACAAAATCAAACTCGAAATCGGATTTATCAGATTTGTTAGAGTTTCGAATACCTATTCATCAAAAGCTTAATAAGCGAGCAAACTTTCGGTACAATAGGTGTACCTACACCCCGACTAAATGAGGAAAGTTTTTAGGACATGGATGAGAATATAAAAAAAAGTAAGGGTTAAAATTATTATTATTTTACCTATTTTAGTAAACGAGTATTAGACCTTTTGAGACAATTATATATCCCGGTGGGGCAATTTTAATTGGTCAATAGAAATGGATTTCAATGCTTTTTTTCCCCCTTAGGTTAACCTTAGCCAATATATCATGAAAAGTAAAAAGGGATAAGGTCATTTTGTGTTGATTGTTTTCTAATTTTAAATTTTCTTCTTTCACATGTAAAATAAGAATAGATAAATCAATCAAATTCCAAGACACTTTATAAAATACTTCCTTCGGAGTTAAACTTCTATTTGTTCATTCTCATTCACATAAGAATAAATATTATGATTTGCATTTCGAACAGACATAAATACAACAACTATAATATATAACCCGCAGTATTAAAATATTCCCCCTCATAAGGAAATAACAAGCCTCTCACACTTGACACCACAAATTCTCTTCCTTTGCTTTAAACTCCTTCCGGCCCATTAAAATGACCCGTGCTCTGACCCTTCACTCTAAAGAAAACAACAAAAGTGGTCTTTGATGCTGATATAATGAACTTTTTACAAAAGCTAATGTGTCCTACCAAAGTAGTGATGCCTCAAAATAGGGAGTTTGGAATTTAGAGTATAGCGGGACCGGAGCTTTGGTGATATGTCATGTACGAGGAAAAACGTGTTCCATACTCGTGAATGGTAGAACCCCATCCTTGTTCTCCATAAGGTGGAGGGACACTGACACGCTATGAAAAAAGTGGAGAATACAAGTAGGGTTAATTTGTCATAAGTTATTGACTATTATGGGGGAATAATCCTAAGGGGGTGTTTGGTTCAAGAGTTTTGAGGGGTTTCCCAGCCAAGTGATTCCAGCATTCATGGTTCTCCATGTTTGGTAGAAGGTTTAATAAATTTTAACCATTATTCTGAGTTACCTAGCTATCAAACATTGTACGTGAAAAAGGCAGAAAACCACCGTTGAGAAAGCAACTTGTAACATGGTATTTCTTGAGAAACCTAATAAGTTAATAAAGTGGAACAAAACCATGACAAAAATATCCCTCACACGTGAGCAAACAAGATGAAAGAGCACAGCTACTTCAAGCCTCGTTGATGCTAAGCGTGAGCTTTCTGGTCTTCTATACCCTTATATTGGCAATGCAAAACAAGATTACTGCAAATATAGGTTTACGATGCATTTAAATTTTTAAATGCTTAATTAACTTCCTCTGCATAATGTTTATAACTTCAACAGCCACAAAAAGACTTCTGCAACTATCAAGGAAGAGCTTAAAGCCATAGCATCAATACTTGAACAGTAATGGCAACAAGAGGAAGAAAGAAGAGAGTTCTCAGATGTACAGTCACAGATCCAAAACATATGTGGAGAAATAGCTGGGAACGTGAACCTTATTGATGTTTTCCCTGCAGTTATAGAGTCATTTTTAAAAGGGTTTTTTTTGTAATTTTAATATACTTTCCCATCAATATTTTTAAAAGGGTTTCATTGAATTCTGACCCATTTTTTTTGTTGCACATAAGTTTTATTCAAGGGGGGAAAGTGGAAACAACAAAAGCTATTAATTAGGGGTAGACAAAATAGGGGGGAAACTAGAAAAGCAAGTTTGATTGTGGTCGATTTTTGTTCCGAGAATCAAATCATGTTTCCACCTTTTAGATGGGACTCTTTAGGGTTCATCGCCTTCTAAGGATGCTTTGCCGACACAGGCATATGGACTACTCTCAAAATGGAAAATAGTTATAGTATTACGAATGTATCGATCATTCGATATATTTTTTATCAAATATAAAAATAATAATATCTTTACACTATTCTTATGTTTATAATTATTTCTTTTTATATTTATATATTTCTTTTTTTGATAAGAGAATGTTTACTCTCGTTGTTGTACAAAATACATTCCTCAAAATGACCTATTGATTTGAATAATGGGAAATATTTTTCTAGTTTCGTTGGAGATAGTTATCTCATGTTATATACTTATTGAATTTTGTGCCAGTTTTTTTCAATTTTTTTTTTTTTTGTTTTAAAGTGTAAACCTCACATATTTATCTCATACACATGAGAGAACTATCTCAAACAACATGAGATTAGTTAATCCCTTGAATAATTCATACAACAGCTTAGTCATCGACATAAATCACGAAACAAGACAAACTCCATAGTCCACACCTCACTTTTTTAAAAAATAAAATAAAATAAATAATAGGCTGGAAACCACTTATAAGATGTGAGAATATGACAAAATTGTGTGAAGCACAAAAAAAAAAGGGTGGGACCAAATATCTCACTGCAATTTGTCCTAGTTTATTCTCCATTTTTCTTCTTCCGTTCGTTTTTCAAAACTTATTTTCTTCATTTTCATAAATAAACCTTAACTTTATCTAGATATACTCTCAAAAGATTTAGATTTCACGCTGCTCCTTAAAATAGCAGGAGTGTTTATTTTGAAATTTTGTCTCTCTCTGAGGAACAAGATGAAAATATATCCACATTTAGAAGTTCAATTGGTAGTGTATTAATAGTTTTGATTCGAAGGTACCAATCAAGAGATTCAAGCAGGAAGCCTACGCTGCTCAGTCTTTCAATTTTTTATTTTTTATTTTTCATTTTAAAATTTCTTATCAATGGTTTGCTCATACTCTTCAAGTGTAATACTAATCTTTACTTAATAAAGCTCATCCCCACCAGTGCTATAGTGTTGGCTCAAGTTTTACACTGCAGAAACCTTTGAGGTTTGAAGTGTAAAATTCCTTATTATTTATCATAGTCAAGGAAGGGTCAATTTGGCATGGGAGTAAATTGAGAGTGAAATTTTACATTACGAAAAATTATACTATTTTATTTGTAAGAGTAATCTTTGCTTAGGAAAGCTCATCCCCCGTAAGTTATTTTGAGCTGGCTCAATATTTACATTATAGAAACCCTTCAAGTGTAAAATTCCTTCCTTATCATACATACTACAGGTCAATTTGGTAAGAGAGTTAAATTAAGAGTGAAATTTCATGATGCATGATTTTTCACCTCTATTTTAAATATCAGGACAAACTAACCCCTAGTATAAGTTAAAGTTAATGGACTATTTTTACACTCTCATTAATACTTTCTCAATGTTAAGAACCAATTCAACCCAAAAGCTTAAGCTGTTGGGTGAGGCTACATTAATGGTTTTATATATCTCGACACGCCCTCTCACACGAGAGCCCACTGGGCTTGAAGGGTGGACAATGCACATGTCCACCTAACTGTGCGAACAAAGAAATTCCACTTGAAAGAAAGTGAGGGGCGGCGAGGATCGAACCCAGGACACGAGGCTTTTGGGTTGAATTGGTTCTTTACATGTATCAGAGTCTCGCCGCCCCCCACTTTCTCTTGTGGACTTTCTTAGCACAGATAGGCTGTGCCTGTTGCATCTTCCACTCTTCAAGCCCAATGGACTCTCGTGTGAGGGCGCGTGTTGATATATATAGTCCCACATTGGTTGTATGTGCAACTAATGTGGAGTTTATAAGACTTTGGGCACTCCCACCCTTTGAGCTAACTTTTGGGGTGATGTAACCTAAGGTTCTTTACATGGTATCAGAGCCTCGCCGCCCCTCACTTTCTCTTGTGGCATTTCTTAGCACATGTAGGCTGGGCCTGTTGCATTGTCCACTCTTCAAGCCCAATAGGCTCTCGTATGAGGGGGCATGTTGAGATATATAGTCCCACATTGGTTGTATGTGCAACAATGTGGAGTTTATAAGGCTTTGGACACTCCCACCTTTTGAGCTAGCTTTTGGGTAGCCAAGGTTCTTTACACTCAATTTACCACATCGTACATAAGCCAAACCTGCCCTTTTCAGAGAAGAACAAGAACATGAACAAGTGTTGTAAAAGTAAACGTAGTCCACAAATATTTTACTGCAGTACTTGGGAGAAACACACTTTCTATTGCTGTAAATTTAACTACACTGACATCTTTCTTAACTACACTGAACAAAGGAATCCATTATTTCAGAAGCATACAAAACATCCAACTGGAACATTATCACTCTCTTTTCCACGTGACCCAACTTCACAATTTGCCTTTAAAACGGTCCACCTCCTCTGTCCTTCCCATTCATGATTGAACACATCAAAGCAAATTGCAACTGTTTTTCATTTGCAAGCTAGCCATGGCTTCCAACAAGCTCCTTGCAACCATTTTAGTGTTTTCTCTCCTTACAAACTCTACATTCACTGATGCTGCTTGTTGCTCATGCAAGGCAAAGTGTCCTAAGGACACATTAAAGCTAGGGGTTTGTGCTGACATTCTAGGACTTGTTAACGTTGTTGTTGGATCTCCTGCTACAAGCAAGTGTTGTGCATTGCTTGAGGGTTTAGCAGATTTGGAAGCAGCACTTTGCCTATGCACTGCTCTTAAGGCCAATGTGCTTGGGATTAACTTGAATTTACCTGTCACCCTCAGCTTGCTACTTAGTGCTTGTCAAAAATCGGTTCCTCCTGGTTACCAGTGTGCGTAGAATTGATTTTAGTTAGGTTCATCTGTTCTCCACTTTAAAATTGTTGTCTTTTATCCTAGTTTTTTCGTATATTAGTTCTTGTGCTATGTGTGATATGTTTCATTTTTAATAATCAGGCAAGCCTGTTTGCCTTAGTTAGCAACCATTGTTCTTTTCAAGTTACTTTGGGAACTTTCATTTGATGAATAATTTGTGTAATGCATGGGATTATTGTAATTTTCTTTTTCTTTTTCCTTTTTGGGTATATCATTGGAGTCTAAGGACTTCAGTAGAGAAAGAGAGTTTCATGTATAGTGGAGTGGATGATTAAACCTCTGATATCATCGTTAAACCAAATCTTAAAGACCAATGCCAATCTAAAGAATTGTTTGCAGGATTTGTTGTACTATATCATCAACTCAAAACTTTAAGCTATTAGATAAGATTATATTAATGATTTTATACTTTTTTAAGAGGTCCCTTTACATGAGAGCCGATTAGATTTTGAAAGGTAGACAGTGCACAGATTTATTTACCTATGTTAAGAAAATTCACAAAATTTAATTAATTACTAACTAAGTGAGAAGTGATGAGGATCGAATCCGTGACACTTAGGTTTTGATATCATATAAAAAAAATTCAACCCAAAAAATTAAACAATTAGGTGAATGTTATCTCTAACATATATATATCAATCATGCAGGCATAAATGTGTAATATAAATTCATGTTAAATACGTCCATGTTAAAAAAACAAAAACAAAAAACTTTGTAACCGTTTAATCATATCTCTTTTTATAAGAAGAATCGATTTCGCATTTTTTTCTTCGGTATGTGAAGACAATAATGCCCTTATAAACAAATTTCAGTGGACAAGAAGACCAATATATTTTTATTTAATTTTCTCTTAATTAAGTATCATTTTATTAAGGATAATTATATAAACAGTATATTAAGCAAAAAATGTTTCCATGGCAAACTATTCAGAAAATAATGACCCATTTCAATTTCAATGAGGATATTTCAAGTGCTCGTTTGTGATATCTTATTTTTAGCTTTTAAGCTTATAAATCAAACATAATTTTATAAAAGTCTTATTATAAAAAGAGTTTTTTTATATAATACATAAAAAAAATTAAAAGCTAAAAGAGGGGCTTTTTTAAGATGAACACCAGATTTTTGGATTCCTCATATATATATATATATATATATATATATATATATATTCTAAATTTATATTTATAAATTTTATCCTTTATCCTAATAATTCATTCTAACTATAAATTATTTCGTCTTCTATCCTTTAAAATCATCAGCACTTTATATAATAATCAATTAACTTTATTTTATTTTAGTTATAAAAAATTTGTGTCAATCTAAAACGTACCTAATTAATTAAATTTATTCTAATAGTTTCTGATAGAAGCTATGCCACGTGTCCTTGCTTACGGAGCATGGAAGTTGATCGAGCAATTTATTTTTTCACCCTTTGAATATAAAAATTTCTATCACAATTTTGGCACAATCGTTCGGGCACAATCCAGGCAACAATTCCCGTGGATGGTATATAATTTTATTAAAACATGCTATAGAGTCAGAATAAAATTTGACAAAAACTTTAACAGAATAAATTGACATGCCTGTTGATTCTTGAATGGATGAATAGGATTATTATTTTAATTTATTAACCAATCACTTTTGAATCTATGTAAATTCTATCGAAATTCTAATAATTTTTATTGGTGGCTTAAAATTACTCATCTTTAATATTGTGATAATTTACATAGTCAGACCTTCAAGTTAATTACTCGATTTTAAAACATTATAATGTAATTCATCAATTTATGTGTTTCACCAAGGCAATCAATAATACAGGATTTTGAATTTTTTCTTAAACATATAAAAAATATATTAAATATTTATTTGGAGATAATTTTTATACAAATAAAGTTGGATTCCGTACACTACTGTCATGTTTATAAAAGGGATACGATATTATACCTATTTTTTTCATGTCTACTCTATTTATTTATCTTCAACACTGTTGAATCAAACTTTTAATAGGAGTTAAAAAGAGTGAAGTTAGTTTAGATTCTAATCTAACATGTTGAAGATAAGTATGTAAAATAGACGTAAAAAAAGATAAATAGAATATCTTATCCCTTCATAAAATAAAAATAAAAATACCCTTGTATGTTAGAATTATTAAACTTTAGTATTGTACTATGTTAATACTATTTTACACAAGACAAAATTAAAGGACTAGATCCATTTTCAACACATTATTTGGAAAATGGGTCCAACCTGTTCACGTGGCCCATTTAATCTGCCAAGAAATGGTGGATTCAGTTAAAATTTCCAACTCGCTAACCGTTTGAACCTGCTCTATTTAAGGATGGGCCAAAACAGTTTCAACCCGTCACGGGTTGACCCGTTGAGTTAAATTTTTTTATTTAAAAAAAACATAAATTAATAATATTTTTTATATTTCTTTTATCTTCGTTTGATCAAGAATATAATTTTTGAAAAAAAAAACTCATTTTCCAATATTTTGTCAGGTTGGCAAGACGAGGGGGTGAATTAGAGGCGAGTCGGGATAGTGGGATGGAAAGAGTTGGATTATTTTATGACGGGTTGACGGCGGAGCAGGGCAGTCGGGTTACCACTTTTTGAGATACTATATAAAAATCATTGCTAAAACAAAGTTATACTGTACGAATTGTATAACCCGAGTTATGCTGGTTGTGCAAGTCACGTAAAGAGGGTTAGACCCACCAAACTTTTTTGCTTTTTTTTTAGTTAACTCAACTTTTGTTGAGATATATAGTCTCACATTGGTTGTATGAGCAACTAATGTGGAGTTTATAATGCCTTGGGCGGCACTCCCACCCTTTGAGCTAGTTTTTGGGTGGTGTATCCCAAGGTTCTTTACATGGTATCAGAGCCTCGTGTCCCGGGTTCGATCCTCGCCGCTCCCCACTTTCTTTAAGGTGGAATTTCTTTGTTCGCACAGGTAGGTGGGTCTAGGCCTGTGCATTGTCCACCCTTCAAGGCCAGTGGGCTCTCGTGTGAAGGGGCATGTTGAGATATATAAAATCATTAATGTAGCCTCACCCAACAACTTAAGCTTTTGGGTTGATTTGGTTTTTTACATGGTATCAGAGCCTCGTGTCCCGGGTTCGATCCTTGTCGTCCCCCACTTTGTTGAGATATATAGTCTCACATTAGTTGTATGAACAACTAATGTGGAGTTAATAAGGCCTTGGGCACTCCCATCCTTTGAGCTAGCTTTTGGGGTGGTGTATTCCAAGGTTCTTTACATGGTATCAGAGCCTCGCCGCCCACCACTTTCTCTTGTGGAATTTCTTAGCACAGGTAGGCTGGGCCTGTTGCATCGTCCACTCTTCAAGCCCAATGGGCTCTTGTGTGAGGGGGCGTGTTGAGATATATAGTCCCACATTTGGTTGTATGAGCAACTAATGTGGAGTTTATAAGGCCTTGGCACTCCCACCCTTTGAGCTAGCTTTTAGGTAGTGTATCTCAATGTTCTTTATAACCTTAATTAACTCTTTGAGGTAAGTTGATTATCTTCGATATCCCCACAAGCTTTGACTATTTGAACCGGCTATGAAACTAATATGGAGTGCGAGACGGATCAAGAATAAAGACATTTATCTCCTTCTAAAAGTGACATGTGAGGATCAAACCGAAACTCTTTCCACTCCCAAAAGTTAGAAAAAAATATTAGTTTGATATACCAGGTAATTGTTTCCATAGCCAAAATCATTTTAGTGATTTTATGATGAATATCCAAGTAACAAGCTATATAAAAAGAAGGTATTAAAGTAAAGAAAATAAGAAAATCTAACTTAAGCTTTTAGCCGCCTTTACGATTTATCAAAGGATGTATCTAACTAAGTGCATTTATTATGTGAACCTAGGAATCTCAGGTTAAATAGGATTATTCTAATATTTTATATGCTTTATTTTCATGACAGTTGTATGAACCTGCTTTTTATGTAAATTTTATGTCTATCTCTTTATTTTTATTTGTGTGAATTGAGCAAGTTAAAAAAACCAAAAGAATGTTATAAAAAAAAAAAAAAAAAAACCAAAAGAATACGTTACATAGTACTAACGGTTATCTTCGTTAAGAATAAACTAGTCGTGAAGACTGAAGAGAACTTGGGGGAGGTTATTGGTTTGAACCTTAATATCATTATTGTATCCAAAATAAAAAAATTGCAGAATGCAACCGTCCTCAATCTCTAGTTGAGATGGTAAGAAAGCAATTTTGTTTCCTTGTTTTGTGTAGTTTAGTAACTTTAACAAGATGCGTAATTAACTCTTTTAGGCGAGTCAGAATCTGGGTATCTCTACAACTTTAATTCTTTGAGTCGGTTATGAGACTAATCTTAGGTTGAGGAGTTAAAACTCATTATCCCTCCCCAAAAATGTATTTATTGGGAATCGAGCATGGAACACAGGTTTTCTCCCTACTTTACTCAGTCTGTGTTGCCAATTGATTTTAGATGTGTTCCTTTAATAGTAGGTCAACTATAACTATCTTTAAAGTAGTGGAGAAGCCCGGGAAAAGACTCAACCAACTAAAAGACCCAACTAGTAAAATTTAACTAATACTAATAATGTATTATTTTTAAAAACTTAACCAATACTAATTAAGGAGATACCATAATATTTAAAGAAAATATGTAGCATTTTTAAAAATCAGCTGAACCAAGTGGCTCCGCCACTGCTTTATTGCAAGCAGTTGTTTTTATAGCCAAAATTATTTATGAAAATCTAAGTAAACAGGCCATATATAAAGAAGGTATTAAAAGAAAAGAAAATAAGAGAATCTAGGTTAAGATTTTAGCTTGTACAATTTATATCATGGTTTTATAAGAGTTGTGTTGTAGGAAAAGTGATTGTGTAATGTTATACAGATTCATTTTGCGTGCCGTAATTTTTTTTTTTTATTCAAATAGTGTGGGCTTCACAAAATGTTGTGTGTGTAGGAAA